TGCAATGTGCGTGGAGTTTTGTGCAGGAGTCAAAGTGCTGGCTAACACACACACACACACACACACACACATTGTATGCAATGCAATTTATTTGCGTTTTGGCATTTGTTGCCTTTTCACATGTATTCTGTGTGTGTGTGTGTGTGTATGATTGACAGTTTTGCCATTGATCAGAGTATTTAGTTGGTTCTGCTTTGCCCCTTTCATATTTTGTATAATTTAAGCTAAAAGTAAAGTGAGCCAAAATAAACGCAACAAAAAAGAACACAAAAAACAACAAGAACAACAACAACAACAATTACGCATACGCTGCTAAGCCACACAGACGACACAGGGGAAGGACGAAGAGGGGCGATGACGCGGCATAAAATGCAAGCCCAGCGACAGTTGAGAGGCTGCCTAAAGGTATGCTACGAAAATGAAATGCATAACGACGACGACGGCGACGAAAGCAGCGAGAACAGGCAAAAATGAAAAATGAAAGAATGAGTAGCAAAAGCAACAGCAGCAGAGCAGCAGCAGCAGTAACAGCAGCAGAGCAGCAACATAAGTCGAAGTGGGAAAGCGATACAAGTGAAGAGTGAAAGAGAGAAAGAGAGGCAGGCAGGCAGCAAGTCAGACGAGTGGAGGGGGAGGCTTACAAAAAAAGAAGAAAATAAAATAAAAAGAAGGTATTTGTTTCAAAATTAAATACGCGTCTGTCTGTGTGTGTGTGTGTGTGTGTGTGAAAAGAAAGCAAAAGTTGCTGCTGCTGCTGCTGTTGCTGCTGCTGTTGCTGCACGTTGATTTCTGTATTTTTGCGCCTATGCGCTGTTATTATTATTATTATTATTCTTATAATTTCGAGACGTGCCCGAGCAAATGCTTGAGCGAGACAGCAGCAGACGTACACACACACACACACACACACAGAGGCACACACAAATACATTCACATTCAGCAACACAAAAAAAAAAGGAAAGTGTAAAAGCAAAAGTATTTATGATGCGGCAAATGCGGCTGGGCTGGCTCAGGTCTGCGTCTGCAGGCGGCAAATGCCAAGAGTCGAGGCAACAAATTGCACGACACACACACACACACACACACACACACACGCACAAAGAGGGGCACAGCCATTTGCATATGTATGTGTGTGTGTGTGTGTGTGTGTGTGTGTGCATCAACGTCAACGTCCGACTCCAACGACTCCAGACGCGTGTGCATTTTATTTTATGCCATTTCTTCGTTTTTGTTTTTCTTTTACTTTTTTGCTATTTATTTTTGGATTTTGTTTTTTAGATAAATTTTTTATTTGAATTTATGCACATGTGCGTTTCGTGTGTGTGTGTGTGTGTGTGTAAATTGCATATGCCTATGCACTGACTAAGTGTGTGTGTGTATGTGTGTGTGTGTGTGGGACTATTGGATGTGCTACCCAACGTTGTCCTTTAACTTGGAAGGATATATGATGTTGTAGCTGAAGCTTGTCGTTGGCTCGCAGCTTGTTTTAGCAGTTTGTTGCTCAGTTATCGATAGCGGTATGCTTATCGATTGTCGTTAACTGCACAGTTATCGATTTTCATCAAGAGCTGTCTTACCGAATGCGATGCCTGCTTTATGGCTAACTCAGGGAATCTATTGTTGTTTCAGCAATAATGCCACAAAAAATATATTGGACAGTTGCAGCAACATTATAAACTAAAGCAGCCAATATCGATAGAATAACGATATATAATTAAGATCGATATCGATAACTCTTAAATAATTGCTTTCCTCACAATATTTGAAGTCACTACTACTTTGCCTCGTCGTTCCACACACACAGGATGTTATCCTTTCTGTGTGAGTGTGAGTGTGTGTGTGTGTGTAAATGTGTGTGTGTGTGTGTGTGTGCAGCATCTCCCTTGCAGGCTTCAACACTCCGCTGACTGTGCGTCGCTTAAATTCGTCAAGCGTTGCAACAAAGTGCGTTTTGTACTTTTTCTTTGCACCGGTGACGTCCTCATCGTTGCCGTCGTTGACGAGCACAGCAAAAAAAATAAAAAATAAATAAAATAAAAAAACATTGGGCAGACATACACACACACACACACACACACACACACACACACACACACACACACACACACAGACAGACACACGCATTCACAGGAGAGTCAAGAAACATAATAAAAACGACAGCGGCGAATAATATATTTTTTGTCGGTTTTTGTTTTGTTTTTGAAGCTTGTTCACAAAATTTGCTCGCTTAAAAGGGCAGAAGCGGCAACGTGCCACAAATGAGTGTGTCGAAAAAGAGGCAATAAAAAACAAAAATAAGAGAAAATAATTTACAAAAATAAATACACAAAAAAAAAACACAAAAAAACGAAGAGGCGAAAAACAAGAAAGTGTAATATGAAAATAAATTTGCCGGAAGCTAAATGTTTTGCCAGTTTTTTTTTTATCGCAGTCGTTGTGCTTACGAGGATGCCTTTCGCAAATCCTTAAAACTGGCAAGTACAGTTGCGTTTGCTGCGCCCAACAGCCCAACAGCCTGACAGTCTAACGGCAGTCGCAGCCTGTCCAAAAAATGTGGCAATTGGCAAAACGAAAACTGCAAGCAGCTGATTTAGTTGCAGCACTCGTTGTTGCAGCGTTTGTTTTTGTTGTGGCACACAGCGGCGGAAAATCAATACGAATACTCAAATTGAAAAATTGTTACGTATTTTATTTAATTATTTTTGTGTATTGCTTTTTTCCGAACTGTGTTTACGACATTTTCGCCATTTTTCTCTGTCTCTCTTTATATTGTTGCTTTGTTGCACTTGCGACTTATGTAATAAATTATGTGTAAAAGGGTCGAACACGAAATTCCAAATCCAAAACACGAAACGACAAAATGACAAAACGATGAATATTGTTCAAATGCCAAAGTTCGATAAATGTGCGCCTTTCTATGCGCTTCTCATAATGCAAAATGAGTTTAGGTTAGCCAACAACGTCGAATGGAAACGGAATGGAAACAATATCGAATTCAAATTCCGATTCTAATCTATTGATTGCAACAGCATACAAATATTTACTAGTAACGAGTGACGAGTAACGAATAGCGAGTGGCGAGTGACGAGTGACGAATGGCGAGTGACGAGTGGCGAGTGACGAGTGGCGAGTGACGACGATTTGCGCGTTCTTCTTAAAGCACAATACACCGGGTAACTGGAGCAGTGTAGGGTATTTGCTTAATTGAATAGCATTGGGTCAAGCAAGGCTGGATGGGGGCCGAGATGGCCAACAGGCCATATTGAAAATTATAGTGTCGTAAACATGCAACTGCAACAACCACGTGCAACAACAACAACAACAACAGCAACTCGAAACGACAGGGCTGTAGAAAGGAAAAACAAAATTAAAATAGAAAACAAACAAAACATGGTCAGCAAATAAATAAAAAATGACCTGGCCAAAAAAAACAACAACAACAACAAGAAAAACATGGCCACAGCAAAATGGATGAGTGGGTAAAAAGAAGAGAGCGAATTGCAAGCGGAAATTGCTAGCACGAGTGTGTGCGAGTGTGTGTGCGAGTGTGTGTGCGAGTGTGTGTGTGAGCCAACAAAATCCGCTTGCAACACACACACACACATACGTAAAGAAAGGAAAAAAATAGTAAATAAAATTACATTAGGAGCCAAACTAAAACGAAACGCAAAAAGAAAGTACAAATAAAATGTAAAAAAAATACAAATAGCTGTGCAAGAACTTATTGCAGCGAGTGTTTAGAGTAGAGTGTGTGTATATTATATACATATGTGAATACATAATATTGTATACAGTGTATTGCTATATAAAGTACAAAGTGTGTGTGTGTGTGTGTGTGTGATAAAGATAGCAAATTACAGATATTATATACGAGCAAGAGTGTTTTTATAGATAGGAAGAGCACTACACATTGAAAAACAACAACAAAATTGGGAAAACATCTATATATACATAAATATATATATATGTATATATGTATATGTGTGTGTGGTTAGATATGTACAAAGAGAATTGCAACTGAACAACTAACATTAGAAATATATGTATATCTTATTTGTTTTTGGTATTTTTGTTAAAGCTTTGCTTGTTAAACAGAAAGTTGAATAAATACTTGTACTTATTGAAAAAAAGAAGGTATATAAATATATTTTGGATATTATATAGGTTAAATGTATATATATATATATATATGTATATATATACGATTATATATATATATATATATATGTTTATATGTGTATATATATAAGTATGTATATAAAATTCATAGACAAAGAACACGACGAAGAGCAAAAACATATGTTGAGTTTTGATTTGTTTTCTTTGCTTGATTTGGTTTTCTTTTTTTTGGGTTTTTTTTGTAATTCTTGATATAGAATATATAGTTTTGATATATATATATATATAAATATGCAATGTATATAAATGGCAGGTATATAAACGACAGACAGAGAGAGAGAGAGAGAGAGAGACAGACAATAAGAGAGAGAAAACAAATTGAATACTTAATATTGTGGTTTAAATTTGAAGTTGAACAGAGAATTTAAATATTGAATATTAAATTGGGAGACAGATATTTGTGTGTATATTTAGACAGAGAGAGACAGAGAGACAGAGAGAGAGATAGAGATAGAGCGTGTAGCCATTTAGAGGGTGTAATAAATAGGTAATATGTACGTATTTAAAACAGATAATATTCTGTCTGATTCTGTGGGTCAATTTATAGCTCAGATTGCTCTGAAAGAGTTTTCTCTTATTTTTTCAATATTTTTAGTTTTTTTGAATTCGAATTTGTTTTCGAGTTGACTTTTGTTTAGACCTATCGAAGCAGCAAAAGCATTCACTGAATGGATATTTTTGGGGAAAAGAGTTTTGGGGGTGGAGGGGTTTGTTTGTTGTGGTCTGATCAGTGTGAGAAGGTTTTTGCGGGGGCTGAGAGGTTGTTTGGGGGGCTTGCCGGATTGCGGGGTTTGCTGGGAACTCGATTATGCAACACTTACCGATTCGTGCGAGGCGCGGTAGTCAAGGTCGCCGCCCAGTCCGCCGCCAGCTGATGCCGAACGCGGTTGCATGTGTCTACCGTGACTGCTGTTATCATCCTCACTGCAATCGATTTCTTTCTTGAGGCTCTGCAAAATCGAAAGAAATCAAATCGAAATATTAGAAAAACAATTGCATAATTATGTTCCACTTGCTTTGGCTATATTTGAATTTCTTTTTGGCTAGCTATAATCATAAACGATTCAAGCAAGTAATAACCATGAGCCTGAGCAGGAATTGGCTTTGTGGACTGAGAAGTCAGCTAACTAAACTAGGTATTTATAGGAGCAAGCTGAGCAGGTTTTGTGAGAGCGAGAAAGAGTCCTCAAGGCACATCCCAGCAGAACACAGTGTGTCGCCTCAACTAGAAGTGGATGCAGCATCCTAGAAAAGGAGGAGCAGCTGGGGTTGCTGGAGGGGGCACACTAGATCGAGTAAGTCGCAGTGCAGATATAACTATATAATTATAATTATAATAATAATAATTTTTGGATTTGGATATTTAAAACAATAAAGAAAAGCTGATTTCAATTTAAGGAAATCATTAAATCTATGCCAAACAGAGCACTCTACTAATAAGGATGGATTGGGATGGTCACAGTTAATGGGTGAACTTGCAACACTCACCAATGGCACCGATTGCACTGGCAAGAGTCCGGCTACGGAGCCGGGATTCAATAGGCTAGTGGAGCGTCCGTCGGCGGCATTGCTGCCGTCGCGCGATGATCGTGACGCTGGACGCGCTGACAGACTTAGATCGGAGGCGCCACCGCCTGGTGTCGAGCGTGCTGATTCCATGGCGGCCGCTGCATGGGCGGCAGCTGCGGCGGCTGCATGTGCAGCAGCTGCCGCTGCCGATGATGAGGGCAGCGTAATCAACGGCGATGGTATTACGGTTGAGCCCGTTGAGAGATCGACACCGCCGCTGCTCATCTTCATGTTGAGGCCCATATCGTTGCTGCTGTTGTCCGCCTCATCATCATCATCCAGATCCATCTCGTCGTCATAGTCATCGTCCAGCAATTCCGCTTTTGGCTGCAGACCGCCAATGGACTCGTGCGCCGCCGTCGGCAGCAGCGCATCCTCCTCATCATCATCGTCGTCCTCGTCCTCGTCCTCGCCATGCATCCCCCTCGCCCGCGCGCTCTGATGCGCAATGCGCTGCGCGATGTCGCGTGCCGCCGCTGCTGTGGCAGCTGCTCTCGAGCGGTCCACAACAATCACATGGTCATCCATGTCGTCCAGCTCATTGTCTTCCGCATGATCATCGTCGTCGTCATCATCATCATCATCATCTACGGCAACAACAATAAGGCTGCTCGGCTCGGCTGCTGCGTTGGCTGCGCAGTCGCCGTTGCTGCCGCTGGGCGATACTTGCGCTGAGGAGGAGGAGCAGGTGGCCTTCATTTGGTTGTTGTTGTTGTTGTTGTTGTTGTTGTTGTTACTGCTGCTGGTGCTGGTGCTGCTGCTGGTGTTCTTGTTCATGTTGTTGTTATTACTACTGCTGCTGCTATTGTTGTTGTGGCTGCTGTTGTTGTTGTTGTTACTGCTGCTGCTGCTTGTGTTGTTGTTGTTGTTGCTGTTATTGTTGTTGTTATTGCTGCTGCTGGTGCTGGTGCTGGTGCTTGGGTTGTTACTGCTCCTGTTTTTATTGTGGCTGCTGGTGGCGCTTTCGGGCGGCACAACAGCGGCGGGTCTTTGATAGAGATCTAGCGGCATTGGTGTATCCTCATCCAGCTCCTCCACCTCGCCCAGCTGCAGCTGCTCCTCACCCTCCTCAAGGTCATCGTCCTCATCATCCTCGTCCTCATCATCATCCTCCAGCAACTCAATGGCAGCGGTACCGCTGCTCGCTGGTCGCTTTGGCGGCGTCGGACTGCAACGTTCGCTTGCCTCACGCTTCACCGCCAATGCCACAGATCCACTCTCAGCTGCTGCTGCTGCTGCTTGTGTTGGTGTTGCTGCTTGTGTTGTTGTTGCTGTTGCTGTTGCTGTGCTTGTTACTGCTGCTGCTGCTGCTGCTGTTGTAGTTGCTGTTGTTGCTGTACTGCTTGTCGTACTACTCGTGGATGAGCTGCTGCCGCCACCCGTTGCTGTCGCTGCTGCTGCTGCTGCTGCTGCTGTTGTTGTTGTGGTTGCTGTTGTTGCTGCAGTTGCTGTTGATGAGCTGGTTGCTGTCGCTGCTGCCGCAGCCGCTGCTGCTGTTGCTGCCGTTGCATCGAGCGCTGCTGCTGTCGGACTATCGGCCGCTTTGTTGGCACCGCTGGCCTGCGAATGGGGACGTAGTCGATCCGGTTCCCGTTCGGGTTCCCGCAGCGTCGTATTTTGATTTGTCATCTCGGCTAGGCCCTTAACCTAAACGAAGACCAAGAACAAGCCGGGTCAATGAATCGAGGCAAGATGGCTGTTGTCCACTTGTCTACTCACCTTGAGTGATTCGGCTGTCTTGAGCAGCGCTGGCAACTGACAATATTGCACGTTCACCTCGCCCTTGTACATGAATTCAACTAAAGTTTGCAGCTCGGCAAAACGGACGTCCTTTAATATCACAATTGGATGTGGATCGGAGTGCTGCAGAAACAGGCTCTGGAAATATGAGGAGCAGGCCGAGAGGACCACCTGCAACAGGCACAAAGCAAACAAACGCAAATCGTTAATAAAACAATATTATTTCAAACATATATAGATATGTATTCTTGATCTAGTCCCTGCTGATATCTTTGGATGACAAATTGATACTCCAAAAAATAATTATTTCAATTATAGAAGACTCTCCCAAATACAGAAACTAAAAAGGATTAAAGCATATTTTTAGGCTGCACCAAAGGCAAAGTCGGAAAAATAACTACAGCTCGTCGATGTCCTTGAACCATTTCTTGAGGCCAAGGACTATCAGTAGTCCAAGAAACAACCGAATAATCCTTGAAATGGCCAAATTAGAAGAGATTATTCCAGCTTTCATTTGTGGCCCATTTATTTTGGAATCTGGGAAATTGTTGAGTGCAAATCAGATTACCATGTGAGCTCGTCTCATATATATATATATATATATATATATATATATAATATATACAAATATTAGGTTATTATTTGTGTTTATTAATTAACGCATTTCGATGAGAAATGGGATTTTGCTGAGGCGAACCCCATCCACTTGAGCTCAAATTAACTGTCAGGCAGAAGTTGCAGCTAATCGATAAAAAAAATATATCGATTGGCCATTAGAAAGCAACGCCGAGTGCAACCCAAGGCTCGCCCCAGTTGTGCAACTCGTGCAACTGAAGAGGCATGTGCATGTGGCACAGTTAGTGCGGAGGAGGTGGAGGGGGGACAGGAGCTAAAAGCTAAAAACATTTATTAGATTTACGATCAGCGATGGGCAGACGGCAACGGCAACGGCAACGGCAAACGCTTTGAAGATGCAGTGCAGCATTTGCAGTGCCAGCATCAGTCTCAGACCCAGACTCAGATTGGCCAACAGCTTGGGCAACTGGTCAACTGGGCAACTGGTCAACTGGCTGCAGGCGTCAAGGCGTGAACACGCCACGAATGACAATGCGCTGCCTGCAACTGGAATGAGAGCAAACCCAGCAACAGTTGCCGCTGCTGCTGCTGCTGCTGCTGCAACACTTGCAATAATAGCAACAACAACAACAAGAACAACAACGATCTGTTCGCATATCTGTCGATTTTTATGTGCGCTTGCACGCCTTGGGGTATGCAACACGGCCTGCCCCGTCAAGGGGAGTTGGATGCAACACGCGGTGGCGGGCAGCAACAGACTGCAGCGACTGCCGGATTGAGTTGGGGGCATGTTGTAAATTTTCATGGCTTGGCAAATTGAAAAGGCGTCGGCCTCGCATTTCGCATATAGATTCCGATTCAGCCGCTCGACAGTCGCCAGCTCCAGCTCCAGCTACAGCTACAGCTCCAACTACAGCAGCAACTGCAGCCTAATGAGCTTTTGGCCACGTTTGGGGCAGATGTGAAAGAGATCCAGTTGCCGCTGCCGCTGCTGCTGCTGCTGCTCCTGTCACGCGCCGTTTGCGCCAGAATTTATTTAAAAAAAATGCAATCGGCGCGCACACGCCCCCAAACGCAAAGCGCAAAAAGCAAAAGGCAAAAGGCAGAAAGCAAAAAGCAGAAAGCAGAATGCAAAAAGCCGGGTCTAAAATGAGCGCTAATAAATTCACGCGCATATTAGTGCGGCGGCGCATCGGGTCTTGGGGCACAAGGAACCGATGGCGAGAGGGGGTCCCAGTCTTGGCGCGTCTCTGGCATTAAGAAAATCGAATTTCCTGATTACAACTGGCAACTATGCAGCCAGTAGGCAGCTGGGAGGCAGCTGGGAGGCAGCTGGGAGGCAGCTAGTAGGAGGCGCTGTCCAAGCGGCGCAAATTGGCAACACTTTTAATTGAACGCCGCTGCTGACGTCGCTGCCAGCTGCTGGCTGCTGGCTGCTGGCTGCTGGCTGCTTGCTGTTTGCTGCTTGCTTTTATTATTAACATTTGCCGGGGCATAACGCCCCCAAAGCTAATGAACGCCAAAGGCTTTGATTTCTAACGCCAGGCGCAGTTCGAAAATGTTGCATGTAATTTGCAGCCAAATAGTCAACAACATAAATTGCCATAGATTATGGCCACGCTAGAATGGATGGGGCTGGGGTGGCAAGTTGCATTTCTATATATATATATATAAAAATATATACAATATATGGAATATATAGATTGCGTGTCGGTTGTGTGGGGGCGTTGCAACTTTCCCATTTTGTTGCACATACGAGTACATGCAACGTATAAATGTATAAATCGTCAACAGATTTAAATGAAATTACAAAAGGCAGCCAACGCCTCAGAGTTGCACGTAAAACCAATAATCAAATGAACTGGAACTGGAACTGGAACTGGGACTGGGACTGGTACTTGAACTGGAGCTGGAACTGTACTTGCAACTGTAAATGCAAACGGGCATGGGGCATGATCATCATCAGTTATGTGTATGGAGTAGGACAACTATAGTTGGGGCCAACCGATCAACTGTAATTGGAACTGCTGACTGCGATTGCCACGCTCAACCAGCGATACACTTGCCACATCCTTTAACTGGCCAGGCGCCGCCCCAGGCAATCTTTAAGCCAGCTTCTCCGCCAATTGCCCGACTTTAATTGTGCTCAAATAATCGTGTGAATTCTTGCCAAAGAAATCAAATAAAATAAGATTAAGTAAAGCAAAGAGAGAGAGAGAGATAGGGAGAGAGAGAGAGAGAGAGAGAGGGACTCTAATAAAATATGATTATCATGCTAAATATAGATAGTTGGTGGTATTATTTTTGAGGCACGTTCGACTTCGGCAATGAAGTGCTCGTTTGGGCCACAACAGAAATCAATAAAAGTGAATTATGCTATAATTTGGGCATAATGCAGATTATAGAAATTTGCGCACATTACAAGTGCGGAAGAGCAGCCTACAAAAACGGATTAAAATATTAAGACAAAAAACAAGATATTTTACATAAAAAAAGAAGATACCAAATAACAACAACAACGAACAACAACAACAAAAAAGAAAGGGTAATAACAATGTTTGCTGCAGTCGCAAATTGTGCGGATCAGCCCCGAGGAGGCGGAGGAGGAAGAAGCAGCAGAAGGTGGGGTTGAGGTGGGCCAAGGTGGGTGCAGTAGCTCTGCGTGTGTGTGTGTGTGTGTGTGTGTGTGTGTCTATGTGTGTGTCTATGTGTGTGTGTGTGTGTGTGTGTGTGGCAGTAGCGCAGCATCAAAAGACAGCAACTGCAGCTGCAGCTTAAATTATATTAAGACATAAATGCGCGACTAGTGCAGAGCCACAGATAGTGGCAGCAACAGGGGCAGGGGCAGGGGCAGCGGCTGCAAGAGACTTTAGAGCGTGGAGTTGCACTTGGCAGTTGCAAGTCCAAGTCGAAACGCTCTTCTGGGCACCACAGAAATAGCATCGACAACAACAGCAACAGCAACAGCAACAACGACAATGAAAAGAGCCGCTTGCGGCAACAAACAGAAATTGCAGCAAAGCCAGCTAAATCTATGCGTCCCTCTCTGTGTGTGTGTGTGTGTGTGTGTGTGTATGTGTGTGTATCTATGTGTGTGTGTGTGTGCGTGTGTGTGTGTGTGTATGCAGTGAAGGCGATATGCAAACATAATAATTTGCATATTTCGCCGCAGTGTTTTGGCGACCCAACTTGGCTCTGATGGTGGTCAAAAGCAGCAGCAGCAGCAGCAGCAACAACAACAACCAGAATATTTTAAGGGAGTGGCCGTAATAGAAATGTTAACCTTTTGCAACCAGTGACTCTTTTTCTTCTTCTTTTTCCTTTTTTGCATTTCAACTTAAGTTGGCAGCGGCGTCACACCTATGTGTGTGTGTGTGTGTGTGTAGCCCCATCTCACTCACGCATACGCCCTGTTGCACGTTGCACGTTGCAGCTTGAGCGTCATAAAGCAATCACGTCGCGCCGCCTGTCGAACTGTGTGTGTGACTCACAAAACTGTTTGTTTTTCAAAGATTTTCTTGGGGCATAAATTTGTACGATACACATTCCAATATATATCTATGCATATATATACATATATATATATATATATATATATATAAATGAGTACTCATGACTTAGAAATGAGGCAATTCTATGTGCTTAGTCATCTTTTTTTTCTGTTTTTTTTTTTGTAAAGCTTTGCGCCCTTAAATATCGCAATCAGTCATCGCTCGCAAAACGAGAACGCTTCGATTTTGAATACTTCCACAATGATATTGATACAGGTATGTACATATATACATATATATATAATATATACATATACATACAGATATTTTCATCAATTTAGCTATCGATAGATAATCCCAAGACAGATTCCCAAATAAAAAAACCACAAATGAAACTTCTATTCATATGCATGTTTGTATCTTTGCATGGCTGGCTTTTGATGCTGATTAATGGCCTAAAGGGGAACTTTGGCAGCAACAATAAAATGAAAGAGGAAGAAAAAAAACACAACACACAAATGAGAAAAAAAATGACTGCAGAAAAGGCTAAATAAAAATATGGCATTTCTAATTTAACAACTGCGCTTCAAATAAAAATTGCGTTTTTTTGTTTGCCGACTGCTGCTATTTAATTATTTTCTTAGAGCTCATTTCAGCGACGACGGCGACGTCAACGTCAACGTCAACGTCGACTGAGAGAGCGGGCAGCAAGCACACATCACATGTTGACCTTGATATTCGCATTCGCAGCGGAACCAACTTTGTGTGCAAGCGTCTGTGTGTGTGTGTGTGTGTATATATATGTGTGCGTGTGTCTCTGTGTGTGCCAAGCGGCGTGCAAAGCATTAAGCAAAAGCAGCGTCAGCGTCAGCGCACGCAACGCAGCAGCTGAGAGCTTTAACGCCGTTTGTCGTTAGTGTAGCGTGCGAAACGACAGCAGCAGCAGCAGCAGCAACAGCACAGAGGAAACAAACGAAGAGGAGGAGAAGAAAAAGAAGAAGTAGAAGAAGAGGAAGAGGAAGGCAAGGGCGCAGCGCGTTTGTAAAATTTGCGAGTGCGCGGGTGTTAAGTCTGTCTCCCTCTCTCTCGCTCGCTCTCGCTCTC